TTTGGTTTGGGTTTTTTAAGGGAGTAGGCCCCAAGAGGTCCCAGTGAACTGTACTATGTCAAGTTACTCAGCCACAAAGAGAAGGAGACCATCTAGAATAGTCCTTACTTGCAACTGCGTGACCTTGGGCAAGAGTCTTAACTCCTGCTAGATGGTGCCTGGCGTGAGCTTTTGGGATATTGCTGGTGACGATGCTCCTGCTGCAGATCTCTGTTGGTGCTGCTCGCTAACTGTGCGCCCTCAGGCAGGTTACTTCACCCCCTGTAACAAAGTTTCTTCAACTGTAAAATTAGGGAAATAACAGTGAGAATGCCCAGACTTCGCCTCATACTTTGGTCATGTTTTCAGAAGGGACTAGTCCCTGGAGAAGCATATTGTGCCTGGTAAGGTAGAGGGTTGGCGAGCAAGGGGAGGACCCTTAATGAGATGGGTCGACACGGTGGCTACAGTGACGGGCTCGGGCACAGCAGGGATTCAGAGGGTGGCACAGGAGCGGGTGGTTCTATCGTACACAGGGTCGCTGTGAGTCAGAGCCCACTCAACGGCACCTGACAATAATGCGTCAGGTGGAGCCGTGGGTGGTGCAGCTGGGTCATGTGTTCCGCTGCTAACCAAGAGGTCGGAGGTCAGGTCCACCCGGAGGCCCTTCAGAGGACAGGAGGCCTGGCAATCTCCTTCTGAAAAGCCAGCCACTGAGCGCCGTGGGGCACAGTTCTGCTCTGACACACAGGGGTTTGCTGTGACTTGGAATCGACTCCACAGCAGCTGTGTAACTGGCTCAGTGCACAGGGTGGCTGAGCGTGAAACGAGGGAGCCCCTGGGAAGGACGTGGTTCCCAGCCCAGCCTGCGGTGAATGTTAGCATATTGTCATATGCGCTAGCCCTCTTTTGTTATTATCAGTATTCAGCCGTTCTCCACCCACCCAGGATTTATTGAGCACCTGCTGTGTACCAGGTCCTATGCCATCCCTTGGGGATCCAGTGGTGAAGAAGCGAGACCTGCTCTTGCTTTTCCTGAGCATAGGTCAGAGTTTGGGCCACAGCAGGAGGCCCATGGGATGCCCCCCAGAATTTTCGAGCCAGTTCAAGTACAAAGAATCAGCGAGGGACAGTAGTGGCACCAGGGCAGGAAGAGGTAAAGCTAGCAGAGGGCAGCAGAGATGGTGACAAGGGGACGAGGCTGGAAAGTGCTAGGGCTTGGTGACTGCCTGGGGTGGGGGATGCAGGAGAGGATGTGTTCCTCCTGTTTGCGGCATGGGCAGCTGGGTGGTGGTGACGACATTTAGGAAGGGAACAATGGGGGAGGAGCAGGCTGGGAGCACAGATGTGGGTGGGGGTGGGGGCTGGGATGAGGGGTGGCCTTGTTGGCTCTGAGCAGCCACAGTATGCTGACTTCGTGGGGTTCTGACCACTGCCCCCACTACAGCTGCCGTTTGTAGGATTCAGTCCACATGCCAGGAACTGTCCAAGTATCATTTCGTTTCAGTCTCCTAATGCTCATAGCCCAGAATGTTGTTCCCTCTATTAGAGGCTGGGCTCGGTGGTGGCGGCGGCGGTGGCGGCGGCGGTGGCGGCGGTGCCTGCCCCCAGCACACAGGGCTGCGGCTGGGTGTGTACACCCAGCCCTGCCTGGTCTACACCCTAGCAGGTTATTTGGAAGCCTGGCATCATCATGGAACCCTCACCAGTAGTGTTCAAGCGCCCATTCTGTGCCAGGTGCTAGTCCAGGCTCTTGGGATTTAAGTGAATTCCTGAGGCATTTTGGCGGCATGGTGGTCAAACGCTCAACTGTTAACCGAAAGGTTGGCGGTTTGAACCCACTCAGTAGCTCTGCAGGAGAAAAGACGCCGTGATCTGCTGTCCTCAAAATGACAGCCCAGGACATCCTGTGGGGCCTCTGTCCTGTGTGGTCACTGTGATTAACAGCTCAATGGCAAACAACAGCTGCATTAATTCTTGAGGCCTTGCAGCCGCCCCATGAGGAAGGCACCGGGATTAGCCCCTCTTTCTTCAGTCGGCAGCGCGAGGCGTGGAGGGAGGCGCTGTGGCCAGGCCACACCACTAGTGCGGGGCAGAGCCAGGGCTGGCACCCAGCAGGCTGGCCCTGGGGCTGGACAGCCTTCCAGATGGAAGACAGCCCGGGACGCCAGCATCCCCCAGCTCCCCCTCGGCAGGTGCGGCTGGCCAGCAGTCTCTAATTATGGCCCGTTTATTCCACCCAGTGGCCGCTGCTAGGACTGTCGTGAACACAGGCCTCGCCCCCTCTTGCCTGCCTCCTCATTATGTCTTAGCCACTGGTCTGTCCAGGAGGATCTTCCTCAAGTGCCAGTCTGGCCTGTCACGTGTGCTTTAGCCACAGCCCCCCAGGGCCATGAGGATAAAATCTGTGCCCTCAGCCTGGCACACACGAGCAGAGCAGTGTTGTAGAAAGAGTTCCTGAGAAGCAGACCCCAATTTGCAGGTTGAAGGTATGTAGGGGACACCCCCAGAAACCACCCCTGTCGGGGGATGAAGGAAACAGGCTTGAGCAGAGGAAGGCATTGAGCTGCACTGCAGTCATAACTTGGCCTTGGTCAACGTGCAGGGAGCTTGGGAGCTGGGATGGCCACCAAAGATGATCTCCTGAGGCGAGGATGCCAAGCCTGTATGCCCTAGCTGACCCACCACTGGATGTGGCCTGTCCTTGGGGAGGGCCAAGACCTTGGGCAAAAGGGCTTTCTCCCACTGCCAAAACTAAAGTGATCAGGCACCAACTCTTGTGGCAGCTGAACAATGAGAGGCCCCACCTGCACAGAGGATCTGGGGTCACCGCGGCATCCAGCCCAGCAGCACACTGGTTGGGGACAGCCAGAACTTCACGTCCCTCACATCCCCCCATGATCCTTGGCAAGTCCCATCACCTCCTGAACCTCTGCCTCCCCTCTTGAAAGGGGGTGATGTTACCTCCCTCTCAGGGTTTTTGGAGAATTAAGTGGCACACAGGTGACCGGTGGATGGGCATCTTCAGCCAGGTGGTCTAGGTGTGGTGAGAGCTTTGGAGGAGATACCCTAGTTTGAATTTGGACTTGTTCCTCGCTAGCTGTGTCACCTGTGGACAGGTGGCTCACCTCTGAGTCTCAGTGTCCCCTAAAATGAGGAGTAACAACCCCTAGCTTAGAGGGCTGTCCTGAGAGACAGATGAGATCAGCACAGTGTGCCCAGGACATAGGTGCTCCCATGACCAAGAGGAAGCCCACCCCTCTTGCCTGTGGCATCCGCACCCTGGGGCGGGAGCCTTGTCTTAGCTTTTCATCCCCAGCATACGACCCAGCAGACAGTAACCAAAAAGAACCAAACCAGTTGCCATCAAGTCACTTCCAACGATGGTGACCTCCTGTGTGTCAGAGTAGAACTGTGCTGCAAGGGGTCTTCAGCTGCTGATATTTTGGAAGTAGACTGCCAGGCCTTCCTTCTGAGGTGTCTCTGCATGGGCTTGAACGTCCAACCTTCCAATTAGTAGCCGAGCACTTAATCATTTGCTCCACTTGCAATCCCACATAGGTGCCCAGTCAGTGAGTGTTGAAGGATGACTGAGTGATTCTGTCAAGGGTTCTATAGAAGTGTCACCCCCAGTTCACTGTCTAGTGGAAGAAACACACACCACGTGTCAGTGCAGTTTCCCTTCAGTGAGCACATAGTGGCTGATTGGATCCCAACTTTCTTGGTGATGGTTCCATCCAGTCCTCTCTCCTGGGGCTGACCAAGTTCCCTAGATTGCCGTGTTAAAAATGGCATGTAGGATTCGCTTTCTAATTCTACAAGTGTTTATCTTTTCTCATTATGAGCAACACAGATTACATACAGAGGAGAAAGGACATGTTGCTACAGGATACTTCCATTTATGCTGTAAAGAATGAGTTTCATTCTGTATGTACATAGACTTTTGAATCTTGATTTTTAAAATTTTGCATTCTGTTAGAAATGTTTCAGGTTATATAAAAAACAGCATGGGCATAAGTATAATGCCACTTTCTACAAAAATGATGTGCATGTGCACATGTGTGTACGTAGGAAAATTGTAAGGATTTCTGCAAGCTGTTCAATTTGCCATTGTTATTGTTATATGCCATCGAGTCAGCCCCGACTCATAATGACCCCTCCTTGGGTTTCCGAGGCAGTATCACTACAGAAGTCGATTGACCCATCTTCCTTCTGAGGGGTGGTTCGTGGGTTTGAACCGTCAGCCTTCTGGTTAGCAGTCAAGTGCCTTAGGCACTATGCTACCAGAGCTCCTTCAGTTTGCCGTAGCACTTGAAAATAGCCCCTTTGTTTTCTCTGATTGCATATGTGATGCAAACTGACACAAAGTCAGTCCAGGTGGTCAGAACATGGGGCACAAAAGTCCCCTGTAGTCTCGTCTCAGAGATGACCACTGTGATAGGGGCGGGGCACATTGCTCCAGTGCATTTCCTAGAAGTTAACATGGATTCGTTTATATAGTGATGTGCAGCACATATTGATTGTGTGTTTGTGTGTGCATTATTTTTCTACTTTATTTTTGCAGAAATCACATCCTGCTGTAATAATACTGTTGTACAACATGCTTTGTTCACATGTAACTTGCTCATCTTTCCCTGTTGGTACACGTAGCTGTATCACATGGTTTTCTTTTTTTTAAAATTGTGATCTGGGTGAGTTTACAGAGCAAATTCACTTTCCATACAGCAGCTCATATCACATACACTTTGTCTCATGACATTGACTACAATTTACCCCAATGCAAAAACTCCCCTCCCACTCCTCCCAATAGTTACCTCTTCACTGTGTCCTTCCCTCCATGCACTCCTGCTCCCTGAGCTGGCTCCCTGTTCATTAACAGCCCTTCTTTCTCCCATGATTGTTCTCTCCAAGGAGTGTATCTACCTCGGGTAAATGTTCAACTCCTATGCCTATCTTTTGTTTGGCTGGAAGCCACAGGTGTGGGTTCAATTCCAGACCTGAAGGGCAGCTAGGGGCCATAGTCTCAGTGGTTCCACCAGGCTCTATCAGACCAGCAAACCTGGTCTCAATTTTTTTTTTTTTTTTCCCAAAATGAATTTGAGTTTTGTTCCACATTGTTCTCCCTCTATATCCAGGATCTCCTACATAATTCCCCCTCCAAGTGGTTGACAGTGGTAGCTGGGCACCATCTAGTTCTTCTAGTCTCATAGACATACAGGCTGCAGATCACATGGTGTACCAGTTGCTAGGACTAATTGTTTAGATGAATCTTTGGTTTTCTTCTTTCTTCTTTGCTCTGGACAAGGAGAGACCCATCATTGCATCTAGATGGCTGCTTGCGAGCTTTTAAGATCCCAGTCACTACTCGCCAAAGTAGGAGCTGGAACAAAGTTTTGTCTATCACATGTTTTTTAAGCAGCTGCATGTAGTTTGTTCACTTACTTACTCCGTAAATATTCACTGAGCACTGCCCATGTGCCTGGCTGTATTCCAGCGGATGGAGCAAGTGTGCCTCTACCCACAGGGAGCTGATAGTATAGTGAGGAAATCCATTATGTAGCTGGTGGTGGTCAGCATTGTAGGTAGAGGCAAAGCAGGGTAAGGAGATAAAACATGCCAGGATGCAGGTGCTATTTTAGACAAGGCGGTCAGGAAGGTGTTCTCCATAGCGACACAGCTGGTGGAATCCCACAGTGGGTTGCTGACCTGTATTGCAAGCACCATTATAGTAGAAAGAGCCAAGCGGAAACCCCTAGAACTCCCCATTTTTCCCGATAGCAATTCAAAAACAATTTTACATGTCCTGGGAGAATTGTTGAGATGAGTGACATCGCTGAAGGCTTGAAAAAATCGGAGAGAGTGCTACCAGCCTCATTCAACCCTTCTGTCTGGTCTGCTGGAGAAGGCCTGGATGAGGCCAGCCAGAGAGGGCCAGGGATTTGCTTTGTTCACTGCTGTGTCCCCAGAAGGGAGTTCTGGTGGCATGGTGCCTAAGACATTTGACTGCTAGGTTGGCAGTTCAAACCCACCAGCCACTCCACGGAAGGAAGACCGGGTGGTCTCCTTCCATAAGGATTTACTGCCTCAGAAACCCAGCGGGGGTCGCCGTGAGTAGGAATCAACTCAGTGGCAGTGAGTTTGGTTTGGTTTGGTGTCCCCAGTGCCTAGACGGTGCCTGTCACATAGTAGCCCTTAGCAAGTCCTGGCTAAGTAAGCAATGAGTCTGGGGAAGAGTGCTTTCCAGATGGGGGGCCCTGGAGCAGGGTCCAGATGATGGGGAGCTTTGCCGACCTGGGGAAACCCGTCCACTGCCATCAAGTCAAATGCAACTCACAGCACCCCTAGAAGACAGCGCAGCACTGCCCCCACAGGATTTCCAAGGCTATACATCTTTACAGAGGAGCTCTGGTAGCATAGTGCCTAAGGCACTTGACTGCTAACCAGAAGGCTGGCGGTTCAAACCCACCAGCCACTCCTCGGAAGGAAAGTTGGGCAATCTACTTCTGTAGTGATACTGTCTTGGAAGCCCAAGGAGGGGTCGCTATGAGTCGGGGCAGACTCAGCGGCACATAACAACAACAACAACAACAACATCTTTACAGAAGCAGACTGCCACATCTTTCTCCTGTGGAGCAACTGGTGGGATTGAACCACTGACCTTTTGGTTAGCAACCCAGGGCTTTAACCACAGCACCACCAGAGCTCCTTCAGACCCTGGGGAGGGAGTTTGAATCTTATTTTTATTGTGTATTGTGAAGCCACTGGAAGGTTTTCAGAACAATAGAATAACCAGAGAGTAATCTAGTTTTTTTGTTGTTGTTGTTGTTTGTTTTTTAAATTGAGGTGAAATTCACATAACATGAAATTGATTTTACACATTTTAAAGTATGTAGTTCTTCAGTGGCAATTAGTATACTCACAATGGGCAACCACCACCTCTGTCTTGTTTCAAAACATTTGCACCACCCAAAAAGAAAACCCTGGACCACTAAGCAGTGAGTCCTTACTGCCACTTTCCCGCAGCCCCTGACAACCACCAGTCTGCCTCTGTGGATTTACCTGGTCTATTTCGTACAGCTGGAATCGTATACTCTGCGACCCTGTGTCTCTGCTTACACTCAGCAGCATGTTGTTGAGGTTCATCCACATTGCAGCAGGTGTCAGTACTTCATTCCTTTTTTGCTTTTCAGATATTGTATTTCTGGTGAAAGTATACACAGCAAAACAGGTGCAGTGACATTCTTCAGTTTGTGTCAACATTCATCTCATTGCTTTCATTCTTATTTCACTGCTATTGATTCTCACTGCCCCTCAAAGGCTCATCTGTGTTTTAAAGTAATTTTTGTCCACTTGGTCTCATTAGGGCAGTTTTGTTAAAGAGCGCCATGCCCAAGGGTGAAAACCTCTCCTTTTGAAGCTAACCTGGTATTTCATTAAGAGGTCATTTCAGGCACTAGGTTCAAGGTTTAAAGAGGATCTCCGGACAACACTTTTCGGGGATTCCTCCAGTCTCCGTGAGTCAAGTCTGGGTTCTTTGCAAAGTTGAGGTTCTGTTCCACACTTTTTTCCCCTTTCTGTCAGCATCCATGTGTTGTGACAGAACGTTCAGTCATGGTAGTCGGGTACCGTCTGGTTCTTCTCGTTTCAAGGTGAAAGATTCTCGGTTTTTCTTCCTCTCTTTTGTTTCAGAGGAACAGAGACCAATAGTTACATCTTAGACGGCCACTCAGCAAGCTTTCAAGACCCCAGATGCTACTCACCATACCAGGATGTACAACTTGAACTTTATAAACTCTGTTATGCCAATTGATTAAATTGGCCCACAAGACTATGACCCTAAGACTTCAAACCAAAAAAAACTAATCTGATGAGGTGATTGGTTTAGTCTAAGAAGTATACACATCTGTATTCTCTCTCCCTCTCCCTCTCTCTCTAGATCCAAACCAATCCACTGCCATTGAGTAGATTCTGATTCATAGTGACCCTATAGGACAGAGTAGAACTGCCTTGTAGGGTTTCCAGGGCTGTAAGTCTTTACAGAAGCAGACTGCTACATCTTTCTCCTGTGGAGCAGGTAGTAGATGGAAACCTAGAAACCGATTTCCTTTGGGTAGTAGCTGAGAGATTTAACCACTGTGCCATCAGGACTTGTATACATAGATAGGTAGATAGATAAACCTCCTACCACCGAGTTGATTCTGACTCATAGTGACCCGTTCGGGCAGAGTAGAACATCCCTATAGGGTTTATAAGGCTGTGAATCTTTGTGGATGCAGACTGCCTCATCTTTCTCCTGTGGAGTGGCTAGGAGTTTCGAATTCTTTGATTAACAGCCAGTGCTTTAACCACTGTGACACCAGTACATGCATATGTGTGTGTGTGTGTGTGTGTGTGTGTGTTGTTGATGTGTGCCTTTGAGTCAAGTGCGACGTGTCCTATATGACAAAGTAGGACCACCCCATAGAGTTTTCTGGGCTTTAATCTTTTGTTATTATGGGCTAGGTGAAAGTTTACAGAGCAGATTAGTTTTCCGCTCGATAATTTGTACACTTTCATTTCGTAACATTGGTTGCAATCTCTCGGTGTAACGGCACTCTTCCCGCTTCCTCCCTGGGATCCTGATTCCATTTGTCCTTTCCTGACCCTCCCTGCCTTCTGAGCTTTGCTTTTGGGCAAATGCTGCCTTTTTGGTCTCATCTGGTTGGTTGTACTGAGGAGCATGTTCATCACAGGTGTCATTGTTCACTTCACAGGCCTGTCTATTGTTTGGCGCAAAGTTGATCCCTAGGGGTGTGTTCGGTTCTAGGCTTGACTGGTACCTAAGAGCCGCAAGCTCAAGAGTTCCACTAATCTCTGTCAGACCAGTAAGTCTGATCTTTTTTATACTTTTTGATTTTGCTCTACATTTTTTTTTCTCCCTCTCCCTCCAGGACTTTCTACTGTGATCCTGATCAGAGCAGTCTGTAGTGGGAGCTAGGCCCCGTCTAGTTCTTTTGGTCTCTTAGTAGTGGAGGCTAAGGTTCATGTGGCCCTTTGGTCTGTTGGACTCATTATCTCCCTAGGCTGTAATCTTGACGGGAACACATCACCAGGTCATCTCTCTCACAGAAACTCCCTCGGGTAGCTTTGAACCTCCAACCTGTGAGTTCACAGCTGAGTGCTTAACCATTGTGCCACCAGAGCGCATCTCCCTATATAACTAGCTCACTAGCTAGCTAATTTTGATGGTGATGGTTGTTGTGAAAGTACGTGTAAAGTATCATTTACCAGCTTATCCTTTTTCTTGTGGACAGTTTAGTGGCATTGGTTACATTGGTCGAGTTGAGTAAACTTCACTTACAATCAGCACAACCTTTCCCATCACCATAAACAAAAAGTGACTGTTACCTAGTGTTTTGGTTACCTAGTGCCACTCTGAGAAGACCATACATAACCATCACAATTCTACCCCTTGTCAACTTGGCACCTATATAGATCTTCAATGGGTGGCATCTACACAGGTCTCCTCCACTGGGTGGCTCCAGTCTCCTAGTTCCTGAGCGGTGACCTCACCCTGTGGCCTAGAAATGGCCCGTTCCTCTCCCTCTTGGGCATGGCAGCCCCGCCCCCTCACTCTTGGGCAGCGGCTATGGCTCCATCCCTCTGGGTCACATGAACGAGCAGCCCCACACTCCAGAACCAAGTTGGTGAAGGCCTGGCTCCGAAACCTAGGGGACTGTGGTCATTCCATCCCACAAAGGCCATGGCCCTACCCTTTCAGGCTGAGGCAGCTCTGCTTCCGTTTCCTTGGTCTCTCCACTTCTGCCGATTAATGCCAAAGGCAACCCATTCCTCTGGAAAACCCTGCCCAAAAAGCACTCGGCTTTCTTGCTCCACAGGCTGGCCAACCTGCTACTCCATCTCATGCTGGTCTCTTTTACCAATTAATGCCTGAAGGCAACCCACTCCTCCAGGAGTCCTCAGTGGCACCCGGCTTTCTCCTCCGTGGGCTGGTGAGACTGTCGCTGTCTCATGCCGGTCTCTGGGCTCGGCTCCTACTGTCTCTCATACCATATGCTGGGGTCTCTCTGCCAGGGTCTCGGGTCAAGGACGCACTCCACTCCTGTTTCCACATTTTAGGTATCTGTCAGAGCAGCACCCCACTCTCTCGGTACCATATTCTGTTTTGGTTACCTAGTGCTGCTCTGACAGGAATATATACCACAAATGGGATGGCCTTAACAAACAGGAGTTTATTCTCTCATAGTTTGGAGGCTTTAAGTCCAAGTTCAAAGTGCCAGCTCTAGGGGCTGTGTGAAAGCTCTTCGACCTTGGATTTCAGCTTTGCCTCTTGCTTCCGGCCCAAGCTAGAGGCATCTCTTCACTCAGGCAGCCACTGGCTGCTGAGGCTAACAAGCCCAAGGTGGACAAATACACATGGCAGACCATTAATTCAAGTCCATTGTAAGTCCCAAGGTCGGCAGAGCATGGCAGGCTGCTGAACAATGACATGGCTATATGCAGGGTCCAAGCATGCTATAGACTAGAGACCATTCCCAAAGCTGCTTCTTATATACAGGAAGCAGACCACATCCCAAAGGCAGCTACTCAGCTGCTTATGGTAGATCCCACCATGGAGTTGATTGCCAGTCTCATCATGGGAAATAACCAACACCAGCTGTCCAGAACCAGGCCCAGGCAAGTTGACACACAAACAAACATAACCACCACACCTAGAGAATGATATTCGTTCCTTTTTATGGCTGAATGACATTCCCTCGTGTGTATGGATAAACCATCTTGATCTAATGCTGATCATTTAAGAAGCTTGCTCTGGCTGCTCTCTTGAGAAATTAGCTGCAGAGGAAAGAGCAAGAGTACAAACAGGACGGCCCCCTTAGGAGGCTGCTGAGGGGTGTGGATGGGAGCTGATGGGGGCTTGGGCTTGAGTGGTAGCTTCCTCGGGTGTGCCACAGGCTCAGGGATGGGTGAGGGGGGAGAGAGGAATCAAAGGGGACTGCAGGTTTGGCTTGAGCAGCTGGGTGAACGGTGAGGCTGGTGCCCACCAGGGGGTAGATGTGGGAGGGAGCAGCTTGCAGCTTGGTGATCCGGAAACAAGAATTCTCTCTGGACCTGGGGCTTTTGCGATGCCTGTTTGAAATCCAAGTAGGAATAGGCATATTTCATTATGTGACTGGCTGAAGCATAAATTATTTAGCTCATCCCCTACTGAGGGATACTTGGGTGGTTTCCAAGTTTTTGCTAGTGTAGACAATGCCCCCATAAACCTGGCCTGTGGGTTTGCCAGAGTGTTCCTGAGGGATAAATTCCAAGAAGTGGAAGTGCTGGGTCAAAGGGTACAGATACTTTTTAAGTATATACTGCCAAATGGCTGTTCAAAAAAGTCCTTCCCATTTATATTCCCACCGAAAATGTATAAGAATGTCAGATTTCCCACACTCTTGCCAACAATGGGTATTATCAGTCTTTTAAAAATATCTTTGCCAATCCAAAAGGCCAAAAATAATATCTTATTATTTTAACCTAAACAGAATGTGATTTGGCTATGTATTAATCCCCACGTGGACATGCAGTAATGTGTTTAACCGTATTTTTATAGTTAGTTGTTTCCAAGGTTCTTAAATTTGTTTATTTTTACTGTTATCAACAACCATAAGCAAACATTTTTATATGCAAAAAGCTCCTGCACTGCAGTTTATTTTCTTAAGATCATTCTCTGAATAATAGAGTGACTGAGTGAAAAAGAGGAAGACCCTTGTTGCAGTTCTTGTTATATTTTGGTGGATTGCTTTGCAGAAAGAGTACACCAGTTTTATTGACTTTTAGATATTTAGACAGCCCTCTGTTGTTTTCACAGATGGCTAATCATTGTGATTCTTCCTGCTTTGATGGTGGGCCACAATGGGGGCTTATGTGGTCAGGTGAAAGATGGAATCTTAGCCCAAGTTCAACTCAGAATGGGCTGGGTAGTGCCATGGGCCTACCCTGTGTCTCCCCAGTTCCTGATTATATAATTGGAATACACATGAATGGCAGCTGGCGGAATCCCACGTTGGCTCGCTGACCCGTGGAGTAAGAGCCATTATGGCAGAGAGCGCCAAATGGAAGCTCCTAGAACTCCCTGTCTTTCCCAGGCTAGTAATCCAAAAGCAATTCTGCATCCTTTGGGGGAATTGCAGAGATTAGTGCCACCATTAACTGCTCGAAAGAAGCAGGGCTGGTGATTCCATCCTCGTTCAACTTGCCCGTCTGACCTGTGCAAAAAGCAATTGGATGTTGGAGAGTGGCTGTGGATTATCGTAAGCGTAGGTGGTGACTCCATTTGCAGCTGCTGTCCTGCGTGAAGTGTCCTTCCTGGAGCCAATCAACACAGTCCCTGGAACCTCGTGTGAGCTACTGACCTGGCAGATGCTTTGGTGTCTGGACCAATTTGCCGGAAGCCAAATGCACACACCTTCACAGTCTGGCCTCAGGGCAGTGCCAGCTCTCCCACTTCCTGCCATGATATCGGCTGCAGAGAACTTGGTCATCTTGACGGTCCCCACAGCATCGTGTCAGTCCACTACACTAACAGCAGGATGCTGCGTAGATCTGAAGTGGTGTTGTTAGTTGCCAGTGTGTTGACCCCAACTCTTGGTGACCTCACGTATGACAACGCCGTCTGGTCCCACCCATCTTGATGATCGTTGGTGTGTCTGAGCCCGTTGTTGGGCTGCGTGTCAGTCCATCTCACTGAGGGTTCCCCTCATTTTGCTGACCCTCTGCTGTACCAAGCCTGATGTCCTTTTGTAGCGATTGGTCTTTGCTGATGACGTGTCCAAAGTGAGCAAGACAAAGTCCATCTTTGTCTTCTAAAAGAGCATTCTGGTTATATTTCCTCTAAGACCGATTTGTTCCTTAGTCATCCTAGTGACACCTCCGCTTTTTAAAACTTCAGAGATCTTTGGCTACAGATTTGTTCAGTGCAATGCATGTGATTTCTTGACAGCTGGTTCCATGGAGCAGGAAGTAGCAAGCAAGTACTTTAGTTACCTTAGTAAGACATATGACAGCTGGGAGGTTGGAGAGGACCCGCCTGCTAGCTGATACCCGTCGTTTGGGACCTGTCTGGGACCCAGTGTGAAGACAAAGATGCCACCAGTTATTTGCACAGAATCACATCCATTATTTGAACAGAGGGAATTTTATATTAAGAATTGTTAGCTAGGTGTCAAGTTGTCAACTAGCTGACTGAAAGGGTAGAAAGAAAACTAAGGGCTCGTGAAGGGAGCAACTGCTGGAAGCAGGCACCTCCTAGAGGTGAGAGGACAATGGGAAAAGGTTGGAATGGTGAAAACCTAGAAGCTCGAAGGTGGGGCCCCATCAGCTGAAACTCAGACCTCTGAGGAGGGGCCAGACTGGTGATGTTTGCTGGGGTTTTGGATTTTGGAGGCAACTTCGACCACATTGAAGTGTGCAACTTTAACCCATTTGCCAAACAACCTATCAGGCTTTACATTTTGGATGTGGTCCAGAGCGTAAGGAGACTCTCCAGCGAGTCCAGGCTGTGTGCAAGCTGGCCTACCCCCTTCCCAGGTCCCAAGACCCAGCAGATCAGTGATTGAGGAAGTGATGGTCCAGTTGGGGTGCTGTGGGGAGCCCTGGGCAGGCACCAAGAGGTGACTCACAGCGCAGACCTCGAGGGCTTTGGAGCACATCCATGCTCACTTCTTGTGACAGATAGCCCCTGGCTCCTACCTGGGAACTGGCAGAGAGGACACCTGCCGGTGGTACAGCAAGTAACCTGTGGCTTGGGATTCCCATTGCACAGGACCCCGGGGATAGCCAGGCCATTCAAATGGAGAGAATTGTTTACTGGGTATAAGGTGGTTAACCAGGTGTCCTGGTTCCCTAATGTTGCTCTGACAAGAATATACCACAAATGGGATGGCCTTAACAAACAGGAGTTTATTCTTACAATTTGGAGGCTTTAAGTCCAAGTTCAAAGTGCTAGGCTCTAGGGGCTGGGTGAAAGCCCCTCAGCCATGGGGTCCAGCTCTCCCTCCTGCTCCCGGCCCACTGGAGCTGGAGGCATTTCTTCACT